TTATTTCTATTAATAAAAAAAAAAATATAAACGTGTACAGATACTTTTTATATATTTTGCCGTCTATTTTATCGAAGGTTTAACTTGGTAACTATACGTAAGTGGAATCTTGAAACATCTATAGAACACCGCTAGAAGCAAATTGACTTAAATTTTAGAATCTCCTTCAATTGCAAATCTGCGATCTATCGTACGAATGAAATCAGTGTCTAACAATAATTCGAATGGCGTCAATCGATCCGGAATTGCATATGTAATAATAGGATGCACTACTCGGCCTATATTCGCAGGAGCTTTCTAAGCTTATTTTCCAAACCGATGAGAAACTATTTCTGTTCGTTCCGATTGCGGTGCATCGATACATACGTACATATATTTACTTTTTAATACACGTATATCTCTTCTGATGTCGATATATGGATTAACGCGTATATTGATTCATTGCTATTACCTCTTATCTGAGTAAATATTCACGTGCCACCGGGTTGCCGTGCTGAATTATACTGCACCACTCCTCTGATGTTAATCTCCTCCATATGAACAACCCGTGGCAATGCATTTGAGCTGTCTAAAGTCTCGACACTTGAACATCCCATGCTCCTCTCCTTTGTTTGATAGTTACGCATCAAATGATAATCCTTTGCGCCACATGAATGACAAGTTCAAATAGGGTCGTTTCTTCATCATCGGCTGATTGAAAACTTTTAAGTCAAACTCAAAAACTTATTCTTACTACTTAACATACTATTAAATTAATCCCGTCCATTAATTACTATTAATAGATCATAAAATATATTTTACATTTTTGTCATAGAATAGTAAATAATTACATTAGTAAGTGAATATGTTCGAAAGTAAATATGCGTATATCCAACTTTTGATCTACGTATAGTCAAGCTATTTAAACATCTACATTCGTATATTGCATTTATATCTGTGCTCCGCGGTGCACAGTGTGTAAAAGCGGTGTCTATTAATTCGGGAGGACCTGTGCAAAATCTGTTGGCGTTGCTAGATAATTTGAGAAGAAGGTCAGTTGAATTGCAGTTGTCCACGCTGCAACACCGTGCGAAAGTAACGAACGTATTATCTACTTATACATACATACACGTTTAAAATGGATTTAAAATGTTTTATATATTTGTTGATATTCAGTCATTCAGGTAAATCAATATGTTCCTCTATAAACAAAATAAAGAGTGTGCTTTATTGTTGCTAATTCTTATTAATTATTCTCGGTTCAGTGTACCTATCAACTTCTGCTACCATCTACACATTTAGAAAATAAATAAACTTTTTAAAATTTTATTGATTAAAAGAAACGAACGTCTACAAGTACTGAAAAATGTAACATTTCAGAAAGTTGATTTTAACTTTTTGTTCTTTAGAATTCAATTCATATTTTAATATTATATTTAGCAAAGTTCTAAATAGTAATATCCGATTTAAGGATGTATTGGCTATACAGTCAATCCCAAAAATTTATACACTTTAGAAACGCATTTAGGGAAAACGAAATTTTTTGTCAAAAGTTCGCCATTTCGACGCTGGGATGGTCGGATTTTGTCAACATCAATGAAATGCCAAATAATCATACGTAACTCGTTAAATATCGAAGTTAGAAGGAAAACAACTTTTATTTGAAGCATTTTTCGCAATTTTGAAAAAAGATTTTTCGTCAGCGTCAATACTTAATTGGATATTTCCTTCTATACTTTTTAGCACGTAGCTATTTATTATTAGCATTATTCTTCCGACGTCTGATTTTTTTTTAATTATAGGAAATGCGTTTTTCTAAGGTACATAAACTTTTGAGATTGACTGTATAGCCAATACATCCTTAAATGTATGCAGACCGCGGGAAAATTGCCGCATGCAAGTGTATGCTTTATAGAGTAAAATAATTCCAATAAATGAATTATTATAATTACGTAACTAAGACTACAGCTACACTAGTACAGCTTGGCTTTTTTTATTAAATTTGTGGTGCACATCGGATAATTCTAATACCGTTGGCACACCCAAGCGCATACCTGTTCGGGTTCACAACAAGATAAGATCCGTTTTATGAATGTTACGGATCTAAGTAATATAAATAATTGTACAAATTGAAATTCGTGACAGAGAGAAAGATTATAAAAACACGTGCCTGCTTTATAAATTATATTCTTAAGGAAAAGACGAAGGAGGAAAACATGATCAGTTTGTATACATACGATGCACAAAAATAATATGCAAGAGTTTATTAGTCTAAACATTTTTTATGTAACTGGTTCATAGACAGGAAAATCACAATGCCTAGAGTACAATGCAGAAAATAAATCTCCATAGTAGGGTCTCGTGTAATCTCGGGGCTATCTAGCTAGATTAACGTCGTGTACATCAGTAGTATGGTCATCGCTGTTACGTTCGTGTCATCGAGTTATCACAACCTTTGACAGGTAACGCTTTTGCAATGAAGAACTCGTACAACTTTTTCACCGTCATAGGTAAGAGAAGATTTTATAATCTGAATCAATTTATCTATTTCCATCATATCTAATTGTTTCTCTTAAAGTGAACCCCGTAATTATGCTTAAGCGCGTATTATTCGTATTCAAATTAAGTAATTTCCCTCATAAAGTTTAGATATTACTCATGTTGTAAAATGTCAGTTATAAGTTAAGTAGTTATATTAGAATATAAATTGTCTATTTATAACTTCGGACTATAGCTACAAAATAAGAAGTACTAAAATCTAAATAAAAAAATTATAAAAAGATAAATCAATTATTAACAGAATACTAAACTTTATATTGAAACAGATTAATAATAATAGTAATTAAATACAATAATATTATTTCTGTAGTACTTAAAAAATAAAAGTAGCTTTCTTTCAGAATATTCGTGCATTTCGGAGGTAAAATATCATTGAGCGTATGAATAATGTAATTGTGTCAAATTTGTATTATATGCATATAGAATACTAACATGAAAAAGTTGCATACGAAACATCTGCTATAATACAAAAAAAAACCATGATAAAGGAGCAAATTGGCGAAAACCCTCTTTTAATGACCGGATGCTTTTGTTATACTCATTAAAATTCGTTATTCGTCGAATTCTTCATCAGTGTATGTATGTAAATGCCGTAGCCCTAATTTAAAAGCATTGACATCTCTTTGAGGGTCAATTATGTGCTAATTTAGAACTTAGGAAGATGTCGAAGTCTTTTTTTAAATTTCGTTATCATCATCTTACCTGGTTCAAAACAATGTAGTATTAATAAAAATGTACTTGCATAATGTTCAATATAGTCAACGGTCAATGAGGTTAATTTTATTTCCTGCCACACGCATTACTTGTCGAATGTATTGAATGATGAACTTCTACCGCAAACTGATATGCGCGTACAAATGTCCATATTGAGTTTTAGGGCAGGAACACTTTAGGAAAGTAATGTTTTATGCCGGTATGTTGTAATAAAATAGTCTTATCATTATCATGAAATTTGATAAAGAAAAATATAAAAATTGTCTTTAAAATATTACAGATACGTCATAAAAAGTAGCTGTCGAAAACGTGTTTCTCCTTAGACTTACAGGCATTGAGAAACAAAAATGTTGTAGATGATAATTAAATATTTGAATAACTGAATAAAAGAAAAATGCATCAATTGCAATTTTAATTTTGAATGTAAAAACATGAATATTTGTTGCTTCATGTTCGTAACGTATCGTCGAAAACTGAATAAATATTAATTCTGAATTAGTTCATGCAGACCTTTCGATTCCACCTGTTGCTCCTTTAATCACGGCGTTGATGATTAAATTAAGCGCACTAATGTCATGAAATGAGGTTCAAGAAGCAGAGTCGAAGGGGCTGCACCGCACGTACAAACTTTACAATACGAGTACATGAAAAGTCTTTCTTTTTTCAAAATTAAAACTTTTAACTATTTTTATGACTGTTATATCATATCTGACATATATCACATGTATGTCTGTTACAAAGTGCCTTACAACTTTTAATTACATAAAAAATTTATTCCTTCGTGCCCACTTGAAAAACTAATTTATTAACAAATATTATAATAATAAAAGTTGTGATAAATATGCACACATACTGTTCGGACAATCCTATGTACAGTAGGATGTGGCACATTAATTTGCTTCATGTGCTGAATCATTGGTTCGTTCCCGCATCTCTCTCACGTGTGAAGAAATCATTGTATAAAACTATAGAAACATATGTATAAAATGTTACATGAAAGATAGCGAATCAATTTTCTTAATCCAGTATTAATCTGTTTTAATTAATAAAAAAGAATGAAAATGAAATTTTTGAAAAAAATTTATGCAATATCAGCACGGAAATTTCCGTTTTTATAGCTAGTCTATCCACTTTGCTAAATTCTGAAATTATGTTGAACTTGTAAGCTCCCAGTTGAAATTTTTATTTTGTTTCAGTTGTATTTTCAGTTACAGCAGCACACGATTGGTCGTATTGGGGTCAATATGGTATATATTTCTTTCTAATCTTATATAATTCCGAACAATTTTATTTATCTATTAGATATGCCTATACATTTAAGTAGATAAAGAGGTGAACAAAATCAAATAAAGANAGCACTGGGTCCTTGAGTTTCTTGTGTTGCTGCAAGAATTATATTAATTTTGTATTTTGGTTTATATAAGATAATAAATGCAAATAATGTATAAGAATATTCTAAGACCTTTATAAGAATATTCTAAGGCAGTTGCTATAGTTCTCATATCTCCCTCAATGCTGCGTGCCCAATTTTCAGCATCGCCAATCTCTTTTAGAGCGCTGGAGAATGCTTCCACCAAGTTTAACCAAGATTGTGTTTGCTTTGCGAAATTTGTTGCACTGTGTTGCAACTGCTTCGCTTCTGCATCTAACTTCTTTTGATTCAAATATGCTTGCGCCACACTACATAATCATACTTGTTGAATTATCAGTCTTATCATGTTTATTTCATTATTGTCAACGATTACTTAGTACTTACCCTACATTTAAATGATCAACCAAAGCTTGTGTCAAATTGCTCGCAGCTTGCACAGCTTCTTTCCTTTTTTGTTCTGTCAAAAAAATGTTTAGTTATAGTCTTACATTAAATCAATGTATCTCTTATTATTGCTATGTTTGTATACAATTATGTTTCTCTCATTATTTACCTTGTCTTTCTTTTCTTGCTGCTTGCTTGCCTTGATGTTCTTTTATAATAGCAGATAACATATTTATTTGTTGTAAACTCGTAACCAAAGTTTTATGTATATACTAAATACCAAGTTTATTCTTTTTTAGTATGCACATTCATAATACTACGTGAAATTTGATTTACGATATATAAATAATTAATTTGATATTATTTTCTTTTTATGTCTGTACACTGCTTGCGTGGAACGACGTATGTAATGTATGTATGCATGTATGTACGTATAATATTGCATGTAAAAGGTTATTCTCAGTTATTCTGCTCCGTTTCTCGATATATACTGGTATACATATACATACGTTTCACTCCTCATCTCTGTCAAAAGACGAGAGTGGGGTTAACAGAATTTTTTAGCAGAAATATATACCAGTAGTAAGATATTCTTAAATTTATATAGAGTTGTAATCATAAAATTTCTTAATTTTTGCTATAGCTGTTTTTAACTGTCTCCTCTTGTCTAAGTATGGAATAATGATGTTGAAGAAAATCGTAACATTACGCACACCAAACGGTGTACCTTTCCTATCAACGGGTAAGTTATGAATTAAAATATGGTGTTCTATCCTACTGGAGGTGTCATTTCTCATAAGTAATCAATGTAGACAGTGATAAGAAGAAACTTCCATGCAGGTGTTTCATTAGCATCTAAGGTTATACGTCGAACGTTATCAGAAGAAAGCATAGAAGTTGAAGGAAAATGGGATTTGTTAAGTGCCGTATGCTTAGAGCGTCATCCAGTAATTACAAGACCAATGCAAGATTTAGAAACAAGATATCAAGAAATGTTGGAGCAAATACAATTTGAAAACAGTTTGATGTCAAATTTTGAGCTGAAGAAAGAGGCAGCAAAAAACCGAAAGGATGATCCATCAGACTCTGATCATATCATGACTTACCAAATGATACAAGATCTTGAAGATTCTTGGGAAGACGAACTAGAGAAATTTAAATTAGCACCAAGAGTGAGCGGTATGTCTTTGTGAATTACAATACTTCATTTAATTCACTCTGATATATTTTAAATTAGATTCTAATTCTAGAAACTAAGGAAGATAACATAGTCGCTTCTTTGAAGCGAAAGTTAGATAAAAATCTAGTCTTGTTAGTAGAACAAAACATTGGCAACACAAGTTTTTGGATTCCTCCTCAGAGTGCAAGGAAACAAACAGAAACTATGATACAAGTAAGTAGCACGTAATATATACGTATATTTCTTAAACCACAATAAATAATAAACTACTTTTGTTTTTTTAGACTGCAAAGAGAACTTTACAAGAGCTATGTGGTAGTAATGTAAGAGTACAATTTTATGGCAATGCACCAATTGGATTTTATAAGTACAAATACCCTAAAAGTATGCAGGACACAGATAAAGATGGTGCAAAGATTTTCTACTTTTTAGCAAAATATATAAGCGGGCATGTCTCTCCTGATGTAAACCACTGCTGGCTAGATAGAAATGAACTGAAAAAACGTGTACCTCCTACAATTTACAAAAGTTTATCTAAATTTTTATTGCCTGATTAAACTATTATATTGTAAAATATATAAAGTTTTTCAAAATATACATGTAGAAGAAAAAACGTAAATGAATGACTATGTTATATATTCGTTTACATTGATGCAATGTATAAAGTGTTTAAATAGTATTCTGATTTATATCTTTAAATTACGTTATTATATAAAATATATTAGTAATTAAGTAAAAAATAGGATCCTATATCTTTTCATGCTACACCCAATTTGGAAAATTCGCTACTATAAAAAAGTGTACATACGCGTTAACTATATCATAAATTAATTTCAGTACATTGAGTTTGGATATGTACATTTTATATTTCATACAGACCCTATGTCATAATGATTTTCGGACTGAATTTAATGAACATTTACATAAATTTCCTTATATTAAAAACTTAAACCTGTATTTGACGAGAGAAAGAAGTGTGTCGAAGTTAAAATCTACCACATCTTCTTCTTCCCGTATATTTTGTATCATCCGGAACTCTCTTTCCTTGTTTTCGGCGTCTCTCTTTTTTCTCCATAATCCAATCTCTACTATTTTTTAAGGATTTACCTCTTGCCTTTTTCATTTGCTCCCTGAAATTAAAAAGTAATATGATAAGATAAGCACATTGTTAAGAATAAATAAAAGGGAATTAAATGCTCAACCTTCTACTCGTGTATGAAATGGCTCTTCCATCATCATTGACACCTAAAGCTTTAGGAAGAGCAGCAGATCCTCCAGTCATTAAAACTAAAAAATACTTTTTTGCTTTCGTACTGTTTGGAAAATCTACAACTACACCTCCATAAAAACCTGCTTTTGTTGCCTGTGTTGTAACCAATTCAATTTGCTCACTATTTTCAGGGTAAAATTGAAACACAGCTCTAGCAGACCTTGATAAACATGAAAATAGTGTTGAAAAGAATTTATATAATCTTCTTGACGGATTGTGTGAACTTTTATCTGCATTGCATAGCCATTGCAACGCAGAGATACTAATTGCTCCATCAAAAGTTCCTGCTTTAAATGATATTCCTTGGCCCATATCTGCCAAAATTAAATCTCCATCCACTTCTCTTTCTAAAGCTACTCCTATGAATTGGATATAAGAATAATTAAAACATTGTGAGGTATAACTATCTTAGGAAGAATAAATACTAAGTATAATTACCAAGCATTGCAGGAGATATATCGATACCTATCCATACATGTCCATGGTCTTCAATTACACTGCCACTTAAACCAGAACCACATCCAATGTCCAAAAGTAAGTGTGTACTATCCTCTGGTAATAAAAGAAGTTCGATAGCCCGTTTACACATCTGCTCTTGTATATCCATCATTCGAGAACTGTAAGACAAAAATTTTCAAATATATATGTACAAGTAAATGAGATCATAAAGAATTATAATTACTAAATAAAGGATGCTATTTAAACTTACTTTTGTGTGTATTTTCGAGCTTCGCATTCATCGTAAAACTAAAATGAGAAATAAGAGGAATAAAACAATAATAATACGATGAAAAATTAATTCTTACCACTTCGGGCGGTGCTAAATGTTCCGGTCTTTTTGACATTTTTCTACTTTTCTACTGTGATTACTTATTTCGATAATTCTGAGGTTATGTGTAATTAGCACGTGTACACTGTACACTCCATGATGTTTAGTCTCTAGAGTCTCTACGTCATCGAGGATGAATCGGAGATCGGAGAGCGGGAGAGGAGATTACTAAAGAGTGACAGTGGGGCAGTGGCGGTGGCGGTGTGGCGGTAATGCCCGTGAAATCGTTGGGATAGCGAATGAGATTCGATAAGGCTCAAAATACAGTCGGTGTTCGCTCTTTTCGGTAGAATTCGTAAATTGTACAGGACTTTCCTTGTATCTAGACATTCCAATGATGACATTCCATTTAAAAAACTGAAGGTGACTGTAATATCTCAATAAAAAAGAAAGGTAATAAAAAACAGACTCGAGCACTGTATGTCCCCTTGGATACCATGCAACTTTTGTTTGAAACATTTTTTCGTACGACGAATACTGACGAATACCTTACGAGTTATTTGAGGTCGTCATGTTAGGAGACTCACCCTGTATACTGTTTATGCATGTATGAATGGGTTTCAAAATTTATTGCAAGAATTCGAAAACTTTAATTTACAAATAGGCTGTTTATGAGCAAGTAGCTAATCTATGTATGAACTATTTATATAAAATTACTTTTTTCGTTTCAAATTTAAAATATTCAAGCTGCGACGTTGATTACGTATTTGTTCTGGCAAAACTGTATACGAAATATCAACCCTGAAAAATGAATACAATAATTCTTTAATATCTCACTGTCAATTGAAAGAAGAGAAATGTTTGTAAATCCTTATCCCAACTTTTCCCGCCGCTTTTGAAATTTTGAAAGTTTACCTATCGGCTGATGGCTGGTACTGTAATATTGATTCTTTCTGCGCTGAAATTTTTATTTCATTTTTCCTTATTATATCTGTCGTTGATCGTCGACGATGAATATTTATTACGTCTTTTTTTTTAACATCTGGACTAGCGACAATTTGTTTTTTAGGTTTCGAAACACGATCAATTTTTTCTTCTTCGACATGACTGAATTTATCTTGAGTCTTTATCGGTATATCTCCAGGGATATGTTTTTCAGGTATCGATGAGACACAAACATTTGTTCCTACGTAGTGACTCCCTTTTTTTCTTTGATTATTCATTTCAGTTGATGTGCTTAATTCGCAAATTACTGTCGACGGTGTTTTTTTCTTCCTACTCTTTTGCTCTATTTTTTCTCTCACGGAATCTTTTGGATCCACTTGTTGCTGTTCCACTATTTTTCCGTTATGATCAGCGAGCGGCGATTTATCGGCAATCGCCGACTTTAATGTAGAAACAAACGTTTGCAAAGGAGGTGGTTTCTCAAGAAAAGTTTGTTCTACATTTCCAAACATCCAAAGATCTATCGGCGGTGGTTGAGGTTCAGCATCAATAATCAGATGCGTCGCCCTTCCACTCGTATCACATCTCCAATAAGGATCTAATTTTGGTGACACCCACTAAAAGATAAATAGAAACTAAGCAAAATAGGCAGAAATTCGAAAAGTTGCGCGTGGATACTCGCGTTGAGCACGCGCAGCCAAGCCTCTCGAACACATTCGCTGGTAAATTCAAATAACTTCTTTTCATAGAGCTGCTTCTCGGTCACAGTTTCGATTACCGCAGTAATGATATCCTCTTGGATGTGAGCAATCACATGATCTACTAATTGCTCTTCTACGAACCCATGCCATTTCGATTCCCGAACGTCGGAAGGAATCGAATGAAAAATTTTTGAGTATCTACGTTCTAATAAAGTGGATAGATCACTTCCTCTAACATAAGAGTTTATACTCCGTTCGTTCATCTCGTTTTGTTTCACATTGATCTGCAAAAGATTGATCGAACGATACGATCGCAATTGAAATATTTAGTAAATCACACCAATACTTGATCGATTTCATTGTTTATTTCTTTTCATATATATTTATTGTCTCGATGTATATTTATATTTTCTCATCTATTGTATCGAATGTACAATAACGCATATAACAAACAAGTAACAGTTTGCTGGCGTATGAAAATTTTGTACAATCAAAAAAAGTTACGTACATGTTATTATTATCTCGAATACCTTACGAGTTATTTGAGGTCGTCATGTTAGGAGACTCACCCTGTATACTGTTTATGCATGTATGAATGGGTTTCAAAATTTATTGCAAGAATTCGAAAACTTTAATTTACAAATAGGCTGTTTATGAGCAAGTAGCTAATCTATGTATGAACTATTTATATAAAATTACTTTTTTCGTTTCAAATTTAAAATATTCAAGCTGCGACGTTGATTACGTATTTGTTCTGGCAAAACTGTATACGAAATATCAACCCTGAAAAATGAATACAATAATTCTTTAATATCTCACTGTCAATTGAAAGAAGAGAAATGTTTGTAAATCCTTATCCCAACTTTTCCCGCCGCTTTTGAAATTTTGAAAGTTTACCTATCGGCTGATGGCTGGTACTGTAATATTGATTCTTTCTGCGCTGAAATTTTTATTTCATTTTTCCTTATTATATCTGTCGTTGATCGTCGACGATGAATATTTATTACGTCTTTTTTTTTAACATCTGGACTAGCGACAATTTGTTTTTTAGGTTTCGAAACACGATCAATTTTTTCTTCTTCGACATGACTGAATTTATCTTGAGTCTTTATCGGTATATCTCCAGGGATATGTTTTTCAGGTATCGATGAGACACAAACATTTGTTCCTACGTAGTGACTCCCTTTTTTTCTTTGATTATTCATTTCAGTTGATGTGCTTAATTCGCAAATTACTGTCGACGGTGTTTTTTTCTTCCTACTCTTTTGCTCTATTTTTTCTCTCACGGAATCTTTTGGATCCACTTGTTGCTGTTCCACTATTTTTCCGTTATGATCAGCGAGCGGCGATTTATCGGCAATCGCCGACTTTAATGTAGAAACAAACGTTTGCAAAGGAGGTGGTTTCTCAAGAAAAGTTTGTTCTACATTTCCAAACATCCAAAGATCTATCGGCGGTGGTTGAGGTTCAGCATCAATAATCAGATGCGTCGCCCTTCCACTCGTATCACATCTCCAATAAGGATCTAATTTTGGTGACACCCACTAAAAGATAAATAGAAACTAAGCAAAATAGGCAGAAATTCGAAAAGTTGCGCGTGGATACTCGCGTTGAGCACGCGCAGCCAAGCCTCTCGAACACATTCGCTGGTAAATTCAAATAACTTCTTTTCATAGAGCTGCTTCTCGGTCACAGTTTCGATTACCGCAGTAATGATATCCTCTTGGATGTGAGCAATCACATGATCTACTAATTGCTCTTCTACGAACCCATGCCATTTCGATTCCCGAACGTCGGAAGGAATCGAATGAAAAATTTTTGAGTATCTACGTTCTAATAAAGTGGATAGATCACTTCCTCTAACATAAGAGTTTATACTCCGTTCGTTCATCTCGTTTTGTTTCACATTGATCTGCAAAAGATTGATCGAACGATACGATCGCAATTGAAATATTTAGTAAATCACACCAATACTTGATCGATTTCATTGTTTATTTCTTTTCATATATATTTATTGTCTCGATGTATATTTATATTTTCTCATCTATTGTATCGAATGTACAATAACGCATATAACAAACAAGTAACAGTTTGCTGGCGTATGAAAATTTTGTACAATCAAAAAAAGTTACGTACATGTTATTATTATCATCGTAATCATGCTCTTTTTCATTTTTTTCTCTTTATAAATAAATACCCTATAATATACTTGAAAATACGATACGAATATACATACTTATGCGCATGTATATGTAGTGTTGCGGTGTACTAATAATAGTGTAACTACGAACTATGAATTTAAAAAGAATCACGAGGTTGAATGGGAAACGCCTACATCTACATATATAAACGTTAACATCATTCGGTATTAGCCTCAAAATGTGTGTGAGATACAGTTTCAATTTCGAATTTACTTTTAAATAAAAATATTCGACGAACGGTTTTCGCTAAAACGTCGTATCAGCTTTGAAGATCTATTTTGATTGCATAGAAGAATTGATGTTACCTCGTGAAACAAGCAAGAAACGCAAAGGAGAATACGAGGTAGATTCAGCGGTATAACTGCGATTATTTCCCCCTTGACTTGGTTTACTGTATTATCATGTACACAGCTGTTCCTTTTTGACAAAAATGGACGAATATATGTTTTGTCATAAGGGACAATAACTCGAAAACCAAAAAAATGCAAGCTTCTCGTATTTCAACTGTTATTTTTCTGCTATTATCACAACGAAGTAACACACCGTTATGAACGAACACACAAAAAAGTGGTGAAACCGTTCAATGTTTAGAAAACCTCCCAATAAAATAATACTGATTTTCTTATTCCCATGTTCGCATTTCTTCTTTGCTCATTAAAAGTATTCTTATCCTCCTACCACTTTTCCACACTTTATACAATTCATATGTAAACAATAAAACTGGAGAGCATGGTAGGATCAAAGATCCGGAGTTAAAATGAGATAGGTGTCGAGTCCGAAGAAAATCGAGTCCTGATCGCGAAAGATTGCTTTCATAATTTATATCTTAAGCCATGACCCCCGTTATAACACCACCGGCAGCAGGAAGACCGGTTTCTCCCATTAAGGCCAAATCTATCTCCCTCGCAGCTTGTCTACCCTCCGTGATCGCCCATACCACCAATGATTGTCCACGTCGACAATCTAACAACATACATTCCGTTAATTACTTATAAATGAAACACACGATATTAAAGTAAGAAGATATTACTTACCTCCCGCTGCGTACATTCCACTTAAACTTGTTTGATATTTTCCAACCGGTGTTTTATAATTACCTCTCTCGTCCATTGCCGTATTTAATTCCGTTGCAATATATTTCTCGGGACCCATGAAACCCATCGCGAGTAAAACTAGATCACACTTGTATACCTAAATGAGAGATGAAAAAATTAAAGTACAACAATAACAAATCATTTTTATCAATTAGGAGTACAAGTTTTAAGTTATAGGCAATGGTTACCTTTTCAGACCCAGGAATTTCTTCCATTTTCCAACGACCATTTTCCATTGTCCATGACACTGATACCGTTTTAATGCCACTGACATGACCATTCCCATCATTTAGGAACTCCTATTTAAGGCATATAAACAAACTCAATTATATTATGTTAAGCAATGGTTTTGTTTAAACGAGTGTCATTGTTATCAATTTTTACGCACCTTACTCAGCGTGCTAAATTGGCGAGGATCTCGTCCAAACTTGAGAGATACTTCTTCGTGACCATAGTCTACTTTAAATACACGTGGAAATTGAGGCCAGGGATTATCCTGTCCCCTTTTACTTGGGGGCTCAGGTAAAATTTCAAAAGTAGTTATGGTTTTGGCACCCTGTAAAAATAATTAAAATATTGCTGTTTCTTTTGACAATGGTTGAACTTAAGCAAGTCACATAAAAGAAGATAATAAATGCTACCTGTCGCAAAGATGTAGCAATACAATCGCAGCCAGTATCACCACCGCCTATTATGATAACATCTTTGTCCTTAGCCATTAGACGCATATCTAGTGGAGTATCATTTCCCATTTGTTTCTTCTGCCAATGTTCTAGGAAACTTACAGCGAAATGAATTCCTTCGAGGTTTCGTCCAGGTATTTGTAAGTCTCTTGGCCAAGTCGCGCCAGTGCATAACAACAATGCGTCGTACTGTTCGCGCAATTCGTTAGCAGTAATATCTTTTCCAACATCGATGCTGGTCTTAAATGTGATACCCTCTGCCGCAAGAAGCGACACTCTTCTCTGAACAACTTGTTTTGATAATTTCATAGTAGGGATGCCGTATTGCAGTAAACCGCCGATTCGATCGTTCCGTTCATAAACAGTGACCGAATGGCCCGCTTTGTTTAACTGATGAGCTGCTGCTAAGCCAGCCGGTCCGGAACCGACGATGGCTACTTGTTTGCCAGTCCTCATCGTCGGTGGATGAGGGACTATCCAACCTTGTTCGAATGCATGGTCGATTATCGCGCATTCGATGTTCTTTATTGTGACTGCCGGTTCTGATATAGACAAAACACAAGCACCCTCACATGGTGCGGGACACACTCTGCCCGTGAATTCTAGATATACACATTTGTTATATGTTAATGTATTCAATATATATTACATATGTAATTTCGATATTCTATTGTAGTTTCACCAACCTGGGAAATTATTAGTTTGCAGTAACTGATTCAGGGCTTCCTTCCAATTCGATTGAAATACTAGGTCATTCCATTTAGGAATAATATTGCCTAGAGGGCAACCGTGGCTGCTTTGACAGAATGGTACACCGCATTCCATACATCTTGCTGCTTGTACACGCAATCCTTTGCGGACTCCTTGGAAATTGTAAATTTCATCCCAGTCGTTAACTCGATTCTCAGCCGGACGATAAACTGATGTTTGTCTCTTATATTTCAGAAATCCTCTGAAAATAAACGAGCATTTGTAAGAGGTATTCATATTTTATGACGTTTATTATATTTGAAATCTATTTGTGACTCATCATTTAAAATCTCATGGTCAGTGCATCTTACTTGGTCGTGTTGTAGCTTACCTTATCTTGTCTAGTTTACGCTGTTCCATATCGATGTCTGCGATAGCATCTTCAATATCTTTCACTTGATTGTTTAATGTTTGGGAACTTCCATTCTGTATCGATTGCGTTTGTTTTAGCTCCTCGATTTGCTTCAACGCACGTTGATACTCGTACGGGAATACCTGTGAGAATAAATTTAAGATAGATGACATGTATCACACGTGATAGAAAATACACCAATTACCTTAACGAATCGTGTTGTTGGTTCAGGCCATAACTTCAAAAGATCTTCAGCTATCAAAGAACCAGTTTTCTCAACAAACTCTTCCAATAGTTGTTTCACGTACGCTATATCCTCCAGTTTATTTAAAGGAAGCAATTCAACCGTTTCAGGATTACACTTGCTGCGTAAAGAACATGTGAAAATTAATTATTTAAAATATAACAAATATTCACATGCACATATATATGCATACCTTTTGAATGATCCATCAACGTCTAATACATAGGCGATCCCACCAGACATTCCAGCAGCAAAATTTCGTCCGGTGAGTCCAAGGATGACAGCGCAGCCACCCGTCATGTACTCGCATCCATGATCACCCACGCCTTCCACCACGACTATCGCACCGCTATTACGAACACTGAATCTTTCAGCAGCGATTCCACGGAAGTACGCTTTGCCAGAGGTTGCACCGTAAAGACAAACGTTACCGACAATTACGTTCATTTCGGAGTTGAACGTAGACTCCTTTGGTGGATATATAACAATTTCGCCACCGCACATTCCCTAGAAGATACATTTAAGTACATGTAACAAGATCAAAGAAATATATATAAAGTACTTACTTTGCCAACATAATCATTGGCATCTCCTTCCAGAGTTACATGAACACCTTTAGTCAAGAAAGCACAGAAACTCTGACCAGCAGAACCTTTCATCTTTATATTGATACTGCCTTCCGGTAAACCATCCTCACCGTATAATCTATAAGTTAAAAAAAATAAATCAATAATATAAAATAAAATTGAAACGATATTCACATATAAATTAGAAAGAGTTGTGAACTCACTTTGAAATGTGATAACTTAACGTCGATGCGAATGCCCTGCATTCGTTATTGATATTCAATTCAATAATGGCACGATCTTTTTTACGATCTAGAACATCCTTAGCCAATTCGATAAGACGATTATCCAGTCTGTTCTCTAATTGGAAATCCTGTTTTACTGATCCTCCATGAATGTTTACTCCTGGTCGCAATTCAAGTGCGTTGCGTAAAATTTTGTCAAGCTTTAACGTTTTTGCCTTTTCTAGCGAGACATCATCTCGTACTTTTAACAAATCCGTACGGCCAATTAAATCTTGGAATTTGCGTAATCCGAAGCTAGCCATGTAGGTGCGTACCTATCAAGAAAAGAAGAGGAAATTAATATTTCGCGCTCAAGATATAACTTAACGGCGTTCGATATCCTATAATTGACCATCTTTGTACCTCCTCTGCTAAAGCGAAGAAGAAATTGATCACGTGTTCCGGTTTTCCCTCAAATTTTTTTCGAAGCGCTGGATCCTGTGTTGCAATACCCACGGGACAAGTGTTTAAGTGACATTTTCTCATCATGGTACACCCCATAGTAATTAAAGGTGCAGTGCTGAAGCCAAATTCATCGGCACCCAAAAGAGCTGCAACCATGACATCGAATCCTGTACGCAGTTGACCGTCAGCTTGAACGACGACACGTGATCGTAAGTTATTCATTGTTAGAATCTGATGGGTTTCAGCGACTCCTAATTCCCATGGTAAACCAGCGTGTTTTATTCCTGTCCAACTGCTAGCACCAGTTCCACCATCGTGTCCAGATATTACGATATGCTCTGCTTTTCCCTGTGTAAATTATGAAGAAAGCATTGATAGGATGAAACTGATGCAAGGACATACCGGATCACTTTGTACAATTACCTTTGCCACACCTGACGCGACCACGCCTACTCCTACTTCTGACACCAATTTAACAGAAATTCGAGCGTTTGGATTAGCACATTTCAAATCATAAATCAATTCTGCAAGATCTTCGATCGAGTAAATATCGTGATGCGGTGGGGGTGAAATTAAACCTACACCAGGTACAGAATGTCTGGTTGCAGCGATTTCAGCAGTAACCTGTGTGAGAGTTACGATTCATTATCTTATCATCTATTACGGTTTTCACAAAATTAAAAAAATGATGTCTATGTTCCTTACCTTGTAACCAGGCAATTCGCCTCCTTCTCCAGGTTTTGCTCCTTGCGCCATTTTGATCTGAAGATCGTCGGCGTTTGCTAAGTAACTTGAGGTCACGCCGAAACGACCACTCGCAACTTGTTTAATCGCTGATCGTTTATTATATTCTGGATCTTGATTAAGATATCTATCAGCATTCTCACCACCTTCACCAGTATTGGATTTACCCTTGATACGATTCATCGCGATAGCCAACGTTGAATGGGCTTCTATTGAAATGCTTCCGAAGCTCATAGCACCGGTTGCAAATCGTTTCACGATTTCTGATGCCGGCTCAACTTCTTCGATAGGTATCGATGTCTTAGACTGAACAAGTTCCAGTTGACCTCGTAGCGTGCAGGTCTTTACCATTTCCATTGTGGTTTTGCGGTATTTCTCATAAGCATTCCAATTTTTCGAATTCACATAATCCTAAGAAAGGCAATGTACAAAGAAATTGTAACGTATTAAAATTATAAATAAAATTTACCTGCAAGTTGGCAATACTATCGGGATCATTTATGTGTTTCTCGCCACCAGATCGCCAATGATAAATTCCTGGATTGCGAATAACGAGCATATCCATAGGTTTCTTATAGTATGTAATCTGATGTCTTTCAAACGCTTCCTTCGCCAAAATATCAAAGTCAACTCCACCAATGCGAGACTGCGTGCCCTGAAATAAAAATGATACACATAAAATACCAGAATCTTAAATCATTTATGCTCATTATTGGAACGTTAATGTACGTCATTGGAAAATTTGAATCATATGAATCATTAATTGGATCCAGTTTTTAATCATTCGTCTGTACTACTAATAATATTAATTATTACTATGCAACCCTTTCTCCGTCCACCTTATCCCGATTATCGACAACGTCCTTTCTAATACCGTGTACAATACATACCTTGAAACATTTATCGATAACCTGATCAGATAAACCCACTGCTTCGAAGATTTGTGCTCCTTTATACGACTGTAACGTGGAGATTCCCATTTTTGCCATTACTTTTGCTATGCCTCTCTCCATTGACTCTGCATAATTCTACAATTACAAATTTTTCTTCATTTTCCCTCCTTCCGTGTGTAAATTTTATACTCATTCAGGTGAACTCACTGCGCAAAGAGCATTATCAATCAACGATAAATCGAGCACACCATCCGCACGAAGATTTCTTGCCATTTCAAATACGAGATACGGACAAATGGCATCTGCTCCATAACCGAGCAGCAAACATATGTGATGCACTTCTCTAGCTTCGGCTGTTTCCACAATCAGACCAACTTTCATACGTTGCCGCTCTTCGATCAAGTAATGATGCACTGCGCCCAATACTAACAGGCTACTCACAGGTACTCTATCATGCGAATGACAAAGGAACACCATATTACTTCGATGAACGTTTCTTAATTGCTATAATGATTTATATGAGGTAAATATGATGCTAGCAAATTAAAGATAAGTATCAAATAAAATCAATAGACTCTCACCTGTCTGGACCGCCTTGTCGATCCGAAAGAACAAGGAATTGATAACCTTCTCTTGCAGCTTGATTAGCTTCTTCACTAACACGATCTAATGTGTTCACTAGCCCAGCTGGACCATCTTCTACAGGATACGTCGCATCGATTACTTTCGTTTTCCAACCACGATAATGCGTTCGTTTAATTATCTCAAGATCCTCCAAGGAGAGTATCGGTTGTCGTAAAAATAATCTGTGCACTTGTAATTCACTCGGTTCAAGAATATTGCTTTCGGGACCGATAGGGCAAAGCATTGACATCACGATCTTCTCTCTGAACGGGTCTATTGGAGGATTTGTTACCTACAGAAAAAGCGTATTTCGAACAATAAAATATATATGTATGTAGGATCTGCATTTGAATCGACCTACTTGAATATCATTGAAAATAGTAAATATAAAAAGAAACGTTTCAGACAACTATATCTCACCTGAGCAAACAACTGTTTAAAATAATCGTAGATAAGCGGCTGAAACTGGGAGAGACAAGCCAATGGTGCATCGTTGCCCATTGAGCCCAAAGCTTCTTTCCTTCATCAAAATTTTAATTATTCTCATCGTATACTATACTTACTCAATTATTAAATTAATAAAGGATAAAGAAAACACACAAAGAGAAAGTAAAACTTCCCCAACGTACTTAGATTGCATCATCGGCAGTAAGAGCAAATTAATGGTTTCGAGAGTATATCCATAAAGAGCCAGCCTTTTATCACCTCCCCAAACGCGATTCACAGTTGATATTGGATTTGGATCATTTAACGCGTTTTTTTTACATACTTCGTCTAAAGTGCCATTTTCAGTAGAATTCGCCGTCTTTCCATACTCTTTATCTGCAGCACGTAAGTCTTCCATCGTGATCTGTGAACGTATCCAACTATGGATTTTACTGAACAACATTTATTCGTTTATGGGGAACGGTCATTGTACAAGTCGGGGCATCAATAATTAAGAAAAAATAAGTAGAGGTACACTACGATTATTTTTAGGTAAACGAATATTAAGAAACTGTATGAGACTTGATACTTACCCTCTGCGAACCACGATCACATCACATAAGATTGTTTGCAAGAAAAGAAACAAATGATTTTTTATGTCAAGTACATTATTAAAATTACCTCCAACAAATTATAACGCATTGTTAAATTTTAAATAATTTAAGAAACCGTCAGCGTCAATGTACTTAAAAAACAATGAAATGAAGAAAAAGTGAAATAATTGTATGTACATACCTGATCTTTAAGCCAACGGGAATGAGGTCTACTTCTTGCGATTTGCATCTTCAGTTCAACGTCTTCTATGATCTTCTTCTCCTGCGTGTCGACCAGAAGCATCCTGCCAGGCTTCAAACGACTCTGTAAATCAAATTGAGCACAAATAATGATTTTCCAATAATATCCACGACTAGACGACATTTACGTGACAGCACTGGATGGCGGACCTATAAATTTATACAAACTTAGATATGCATAACAAATAAATCAAATATAATATGATTTCTATTCTCGTAAATTCTGAAACGACATACACAATGGGAAGTAGATGCCTGTTAAATTAAATGACAACTTTTTTTCCATACATACTTTTTCATACATCAGGTATATCAGCATAGTTAATTTTTTAAATTATTCCCAACGCGAAAGTGTAATCGCATTTAATTTCTGAAGGACAAAAATCATTGGAAACGGTAGCAAAATATAAGGGCTTCATACACGCCACATTCTCGCTTTCTCTCTTTCGTCAAATTACTTTTCAACTTGCAATGCAGACCGACAGGAACAAATGATAAATACAAATACAGTTAGGCCTCCATAATTGCGGTTCGAAAAAATGACATTTAAATATATTATTCTGTGTAGAATAAGCGTGCAAGAATTCGACAAGTTTTCTGAAGTCTTCCGAATCTTCGTGACATATCTAGGATTACATAACAAAAAATGTATAATAAATAAATGTATCTAACTCCTTTGGTTACTTCCGTATTACAGCAAAATTGTATCCTATCTTAATATCCGCGAAGACCGAAATTAGCGGAAAACTCAAAAGCCTGTCTCCCGCAAATACGGAGATCCTACCGTATGTTAAAAGGAAGACATAATGAATCTAGTTCCAGGGAAGGATCAAATGCTAAATAACCGACGAAGAAAAGCTTCTCATAATATGCTTTGAGATATTCGAAACGTTTTTCTATAGATATGATTGCCAAAAGTTTCCCCCGTTGTGCGTACATAGTGCTTCCCCTAAAGCTGAAATTCTGTATGTTGAAAGTAATATAGAAGAAAAGCATATATAAATGAGTGAGTGCTTGCTAACAGCTAACTCAGCTGAAATAGGTATCTCTTCAGGAGCTGACTAGATCTGATTGATGCCATGTTCATTTCCTTGTTTACCTTCAGGATTACATTGCTGGGTGGAGTGTCATAGACGCCCACTTCGGACGCCATCACCATCATGTTATCCTTAGTGACGTAGAAACGTGATGGACGCAGGCCGTTTCTGCCAAACAAAAATTCAAAAAAGTCTTTTGTATTACCATACCAATGGTCCGCATTATTATCGACTGTGACTATATTTTTTTGTTCGTTTTCCCGCGCATTGCCTTCCTGCTAACATGCTATTATACTCTCCCTTTCTCTGTCTTAATTCCTTTCTTATGCCTTACATTTCTTTTTACTCTTCTTCATACCCGTTTATTTAATTTACATAAAAGAAGAAAAAGAAAAGAGGAAGAGAGGGTCTCACACATATATGTACATATAAAATATGTATATACACACACACAACTGACACAAATGAAGCTGCATGACTACAGGTGTACTGAAAAAAATCATTAGTATCGCGAAGATTAATTAACAACTTTTACCTGTCTAAAATAGCACCAACGTAACGTCCATCCGTGAAAGTGAGAAGAGCGGGTCCATCCCAAGGTTCCATCGCGCACGCAGCCCAGTGATAGAAATCACGTTTCTCCGTTGCCATAGTTAAATCATTTTGCCATGCTTCTGGTACCATCGTCATTACTGCCTAAATATACATTTCTTTCAGATTTCCTTATCGTATCGTCATTTGAACAAACAGAAAATGGAATCAAACGCTAGTCGGTAATCTATATTCCCAAATTTACTGCTTTACCATGTAAAATATGATACCTCTGGCAAAGATCGCTGTCCAACCATTACCAAGAACTCAAGAACGCAATCGGCAGATCCTGAATCCGAAAGATTAGGTTCTACCACAGGATAAAGCTGTTTCAGTTGTTCGCCATACAATTTGCTACTCATAACTCCTTCACGAGCCTTCATGAAGTTTACGTTTCCTCTTAAAGTGTTGATTTCACCATTGTGCGCCAACAATCTGCCAACATACATTGAACATCGTGAATGTATACATTCAGACACACAAGTAAACTCGTGTACTATTCTGATAGTTAATATTACTTACCGAAGGGGATGTGCTCTTTCCCAACTGGGAAAGGTATTTGTAGAGAATCTCGTATGAACTAATGCCAGATAAGTTTCGAACTTTGGCGACTACATAAATACAATCATTATGAGATAGAGGTAACGACGAGCTGCATAAAGGATAAATTCTATCACATACCTTTAAATCTAAAAAGTAGACCCATAACTGATCAGCCGTCAGTTGTCCTTTATAAACGACTGTCCGCAGCGAAAGTGAGCATATATAGTACCTAACTCCCGGTCGTGGTAAAGAATGCGACGAACGTTTTCTTAAGATAAAAATCTGCATAAAAATTTGAATTATTTTAATAACATCCAATGTGTCATCTTGACATAAATACACAAGGTAATAATTACCTGACGCTCAAGACCACTGTCATCTTGGTCGCCAGTAACGAAAACTTGACGCATATAAGGCTCGCATTTTCGCGCTACTTGACCAATTTGAGTGTTATCCGTTGGAACGTCACGCCAACAAATTACCTTATTAACAGAGACAAAACATTACATAACAAGTGAAAATGAGTGTCCCAATTGATGAAAGAAAATAATTGGAGTAGTAATATTCAAGTACCCTCAAGCTACATTCTTTAGCTAACTTCTCAAAAGCAGTCTCTATTTCTTTATGCGTATTTTGATCAAGGAACAAAATACCGGTTGCATAACGGCCGGATTGTGGTAATTCGACTCCTTGTTCACTGCAAAACAAAATCAAATCAATCACTTTCGATGATTATAGTGAGAAAATTAATTAGATTAAAAAAAATCTGGTACTCTGCCCCTATACAAATCTCAAGATTTATTCTTTTCTTATATTCCCATAGACATCAATGATATATTTATCTCTTAATGAGCAATTTCATTTTCTTCCTTTTTCTTAGCTACTGCTAAGATTACTTTATCTATACTATTATAAACGTATTATGTGGTTAAGTTGTATTGCACAATTCTGATGCATAACGATTCTCATGAATCACCCTATCTTTTAAACACTAAATCAATATCGTATTACGCGGAAAAATGAACCTGAACAATGTATGATAAACGAGCAAATAAAAAAAGCAAAGTACATATAAGAGGAACATTCCGAAGTACCAGCGGTATGTCATGCAATTGATTGACTTTCTTTTCTGATAATAATAACAGCATTCGTAGCAATGAATTGATTAATAAAGAAATAAACTTGTAATTATTGTTATCTATAGCAACGTAAAATGCGATAACCTATAAATACGCCGTCAGTCTAAAGGAATTAAGAGATTAGGCAGTTCACAGTTATCGCTGCGTTATCAGACGCACTACGCGACACGAATACGTCACGAGTTGCTAAAGCAATAGAAAGACCTATGAAATTCGGTTATCTCTTACCGCAATTCATTGGCATAAAATTCATGAGGAATTGCACAAAGAACCCCAGCTCCGTCTCCGGTATCGTTATCGCACGCACAAGCTCCACGATGGTTCATACGCGCAGAGAGAGTTTGTGCATCACGAACAATCTATAAGGATAAAGTCAGAGACGTAATGCAAATTATAAATTTCGTTAAATATCCTTGTCGTCGACTGAGTAACAATTCGTAACAAAGTTACCTGTGTTCATCTCTTTTTTTTACGAAACACATTGTGTGGTTATTTACCTTATGAGACCTTCTTCCATCTATAGCAACAATGAATCCAACACCACAGGCTTCCCTTTCTAGAGTTGGATCATAGAGAGCCTGTTTCGGTGGAAAGGTCCAGGACTCAGCACTGTTCATATTTTCCATCTGGAAATTTGAAAACAATTTTTTAGTATCTGAATATATTATGAATAGAAGTACCAAACAGTAGAATTCGCACGAAAATAAAATTAAAATTTTTATCGTGTATATAATCGTAATAGAGACATAGAAATATGTAGCTGCTATCAATTGTTAAACGTGAATTGCAATAAGTAAGTTATCGCCGTCTCCACGCATCAAAAGGCAAGATTCATGGAAGCATATGTATGTACACAGACGACGAACTCCCGCGTGGCCCCATCGATTCTATTACGTAAGCTGTACGCGCGTAAAGTCTACTTTAATCGCCTAATGCAATAGATAAACTGTGACCGTGAACAAGCAGATCGCGCACACGGAAAACAGAAATGTACAGGTGTTACGTAGATGATCCGCCCAATACTTCTTTCTCCGCAATGAACAAACAGCTTGGTATCGAAATGAATGAACTGGAAGTAAATGTGCCTTGCTCAGTCGTTTCACTCCATTTCGACACGCATTAAACGACGTTGCTCTTTTACATTTTAAGTATTTCTTATGCATACGCGTTCACACGAAAAACGCATATACATAACTACATAGAAATCGTTCAAATTGAAATTTGATAGATGTGCCGTGAATCCGATCTAGTAAATTATCGATATTATTGATCGTAGGTCACCTCTGCGGTCGAATTCGAAGGTGCATACTCTTACACACATACCCTTCTATCAAAGGTAATGCGAAACTAGATTCTGTTACTGCGCACATTAAGTATATACGTCGAATCGGTCAACCAACGATAAATATATCATTTCCTATGCACATTATCCGCAAACAAAATAAAACACTGATTTCCCGAGAAAAAATGCACGTGTATACAAACATTGATAAATCTACATATGCACATAGATATATATATGTAGGGTTCTACATATTTAAATACTACGTATAATATTGGATCATACTTAACTTAAATTATTACCTATACTTACTACTTAATGTTACCTACTCTTGTAAAATATACTTATACTTAATTGTTTTGACCTACTCATCTCTTCGGTCTTAAAATATGCAGTGTTACTAATTATCAGTTAAAGTCATTACTACGTATATGGCAATTATAAAACTATTTGTTTAAACAAAATAATGCACATTTAAAACAAGATGAAAAAGTTGTGCGTTAAAGTCACGATAAATACACCGATAAAATTTAAGAAACAATAAATAGTGCAAAAACACTCTTCACAGAACCCAAATTAAAGCAAACATAAGAACGATAAAATATTTCCTGGGATTAAAGAAACGCCGAGGACGAAAACAGTGAATAAAATCGATCCTCATATGTTAATGTGAAGAGAACAGTTTGATTATAGAATATGGCTACCCTTTTTATATCGGAACGAATCCAAGTCGTCTTCACGATGTAGTGAATCTCGCACGATTTGCAAAATTTGCCTGAAACGATAACTGATTGAACACGCTTACCCTCGATCTTTCGCGCAACCCACGACGGTGTTAATACTCTCTACTTTGAACAGTTGACACGTATATTTTTTGTTTCCTCTATGCGAGCAATTTTGCCATCAATAGACACCGGGTTACATTCAAAGCCTTAAAAGATTGTAAATTGGCTTTATTCTTGTATTACGGTTATTGAAAAGCTTTCGACCTACTAATGTCGTTTCCTCTTTACAGTCGCGTTTCATCTTCGCTTCTTCCATTTACCCTCCCTATTATCCTCCACCTCTCTTCAATTTTTTTGCATCCCAGTCGCGTCGTTTTGTCGTAGCGGTCTTCGCTGTCGCCGTACTTGTCCTCGTCGTTCTTCGTCACGGCGAGTTCTCTCCCCACTGACAAAATTCTTCAACAGTCTTCAATTCTACGCGACGGCGATTCCCACCGCGTACACCTATCTTCCATCTCTACTGGTCGGGTACTTCTCTCTCGTCAATTTTCTACGTATCGCTATCAGATCGCGAAACTCGTCCCACCGCATTGCACATACAATTGTACATACATACTACTGTAGGCATACGTGTCGTTGTACTCCTTTCTGGTTCCGTCGCCACGCTAAACGCTTCATCCCGATACGTGACCAACAGCTTTGCTCAACTTTGCTCCGCCTTTGCTTACGACTCGCCTTCTCTTCTGCATCGCCGCCACCTCCTACTCCTTTTTCTCCTTCTCTTTCTCTACTCCTTCCGGCACTTCGTGCATATATATTCGATCATCTCACACAATCACGATTTAACAAAATTTTTAAGGCAATTTCCATTATCCTTCGTACGGAAAATTGAAAAATTTTACAAATTAGCGTGTCCCGTGGACACGCAATAAGTATTCAAATTGTCTCTACTTTTCTTCTATGGAAAGTATATTCTATTTAAACTCACTTAACCTCTTACCGGATTACAAACGCGATAAGGTTCTATCATTCCTTCTAACAATACTACATCATGTTTCACAATGCACATACTATGATATAACATCTCTCCTAATGCGATCACGATATTTTTCAATGCATGTCCTTCTCAGAACTCTTTTAAAACAGTAACAAGTATATGAGTATTGAGTACTAACTGAAGCAAAATCAAAATTTAATTGCAGCTGATGAAGCTAAGTTTTTGATTCACTCGGTAACTCTATACATATTTAACAGCAATAACTTTGGCTTGTGTAGATTATTGGACTCTTTGCCAAGTGATCAATAGTAACCGGAAAACACGGTTTTCCCTAAAATATACTTCTATTTCAGTAACTCAAGAGACATTGATAACATCACACGTCATTTTGTATGACTTCCAAATTCAATATGTATTTCTCTCTTTTCTATTGTACATCTTATACTCTATAGTTTATTATTTCGTTCATATAGACTTAATCCAGCTATTATTTACAAGTACAAATAAATTCAGTATAGATTATATTTTACTGTACCATTTTACATTGTACTATTTTTGACGAAAAATACCGTTAAAAGTCAAATCATATTAGCTCTCATACCATCCACAGATGAGGTCTATATGTCTAATATAATACGATTGTTTAAAACAATTATCTCGAATCATTCGTAAAATTTCAATTTTAGTGATAATGATAATAAATAAAACGGAAACTTCTGTTATTCCAATTTCATATTCAAATATGTTCGCAAGCGAGCCACGAGTACGAACATATGTAGTTATATCAGTTTGATTTTTTATCTAAAGTCAAATCTGATTTTCATTCTGATACCATCAACGGAATCAAGTCAATCAAAGTAAAATCTTCGGAGTACTTGAATAAATGATATGTACTCAAATGCATAATATCAGCTTTAGATAACAATGTCTATCGTGCCAAACACAAAAATTTGCGTCGCCAAAGACGGTTTGAGCTTAAAATCTGTCGATATTATTATTTATGGGAAGAGTGTGTACTTTGTGTACATACGCAGCCATCATCTACGATATCGACATAGTGTACGTACAATGTATTTATGACCTCGTATACACGGCCAAACAAATATGTCTGAACATAGAAATTTCACGCATTCGACTCGGATGCCAAGTAAGAATGCGGGTTTCGCAAGTTTTCCCAATCAATTTTGCACGATCAGCGAAACGTTCAATCGTTTGTACGACTTACATAGGCGAACACGTGCACACATGTGCAAGTACACGCATGCGTGCGCGCGTGCATCCATGACGTTAACGATCGATAACGCATACCCTTTAGCATCGTAAAATCAATTCGTTTTCCCGTTAACTATTTTAGTAATGTAGCGAATAACTCATGAGACAAGATTTAAAATATATAATTCTTTCCCATAAAAAAGGTACTCAAGTCCCATTGCTTTCAAAATAATAATACTGAACTGCGAATTTTCCAAATAGCTTCTCTGATAATAGGTATTTAATCCAAGTCATACTAAACGAATTTAATAATCGAAATATGGAAAACGAAAGAAAGATCAAGTGTTTAAATACTGACAATAACTAATTGTAATGCACGTATCTAATTTCCACGAATTATACATTTGTTATGTGTATATTGCTTATTTACAAAATTTTTATTTGCGTTACCTATATTTATCCGGTCTCCAATTTCTTGACTGGTTTCAGCTTTTCTTTCTGGTAATTCAGTTTTTACTTCTTAGTGGATTTCAACGCATGTATGTAATCACAAACAAGGAGCCTAGTCAGTTTTTCCTTAAAGTATGTTAGCCATTGCTTATAATTAGGACGTTTAAGCACTCAAAATTTTTATAACTATTTAACAACAAGCTTGTAAATGTTATGTACACTTAGGGCTGAGTAAATTTCTTAAATTATTATCTCGACTTAGCCAACTACTGTAAATATCACTGATCCTGATAAAACGCGTAATGACTCGCGATCTTCGCGATTCTAAGCGAATCACTGACTACGATTTGTACAGATTTAGTTCAAGATACTTGACTGTATCTTAGTTGAGGGAGGAAATAATTTTTTGTTCCACACACACCTCAAGCGACGACGCCGCCTCTCTGCGCCTCTCTTGGCAAATTTTCACGTGTTTGCGCTCCCTATCGAATGGTTCCCTAAAACACAGGAAGTCGATATGGGTAAACTCTCCACGATTGGCTGATTTACTGTACTGTAAAAATATGCATTTTGTTGTTAAAATAACATTGTCTCAACAATTATGTTGCTAAATTTTATATTGCTAAAAAATCGTAATTTTTTTATATCGAACCCTTTTCTAAATGAGTAGATTTTTACATAATCGAGATTGCTATCTGCCGA